CCGTTCGGCATTGCGGTCATCGGAAGCCCGCCCCTCAGCGGGGCGGGCTTTCGATGATCGCAAGTAGGATCTGCCTGTCCAAGATGGGCAGATCGTACGAGCTTTTAATAAGCTTACGACCATCGCAAGACAAAAGTCTACAAAAGGTACAATGTTATATTTGGCTGTATTAAAACAACCAATGTCGGGTATAGGTAAATGTCATTTGTATCTGTAAAAAATAAGTCAAGGCAATTGGACTTGCTGTATTTATCTTGAAGACGTTTCAGGCCTTGTTCACACTTAAGCGCGTTCCAGGAGCGGAGCAGAGCAGTTACAGGACAGATCGAAACAGCGTCCAATGTATTCCAATGGTATTTTGGGTTCTAGTTCACACCACAGCGTTCAGTTCCAGAACATGTAAAAACAACTGCAGCAAGCCCTATTTTACCTGAACGCAATGCACTGAAAGCCCATAACCAAAAACGGCCCGGAACGCATCAAAAACGCGGCACAACCCACTGCACTGCGTGTGCAGAATCCCATGCAGATCTGGTCTGCATTTGGTGTGAACAAGCCCTCACTGATCATCCAGCCAGCTTTCTCAATTCAGCTTTCTCTGAATTGAGAAAGCTGGTTGGATGACCAGTGAAACGTCTTCAAGAAAAATACAGCAAGTCCAGTTGCCTTGACTTATTTTTTACAGATATACCATGACCTGGATCAATGAGAACCTTCACAGACAAATGTCATTTCTAATATAAAAAATCACTGCACTAGAAGTGTATACCTAACAGTCTAATTGGACACAGTGTTGCGGCTGGTCCAATTAAATGTCATTTCTGTTCAAAATAAATGAAAAGCACAGTAAGAACAGTAAATCCCTTTTTCATCAAAGATTTCCTTTTGATGCTGTTTTGCTTTTACCGTCATCTATCTCAAAAGTCAACTGAATGAATCCATAAAAAGGCAGAGAAACTGTTTGCTGATTTGTTTTGCTTTATGCAGACAAATGGGGAAACAATCGTCCCTAATATGTCAATTTCTTTCCATTGCAGGTTTGAAAATAGGAGATGAGGTGATGGAGATTAATTCAGCCACAGCACGAGATCTCAACTCAGCCATGCTAAAACATGTCCTGGCCAAGCCGTTACTGTGCCTTACTGTCCGTACCTGTCCTGAGCTGGAGGAGAACCTGGCTCTGATAGGGGCTCCACCACGCCGATCAGAGGGCGATTTCAATGATTACAATCTGTTTGCCAGCAGTCGAGGTAAGAAGAATACTGTATCATATTCATTGATTGCATTGGCTTCTTCTGGGCCCATAGTCACTGCTCTGTTTTAGGCTACGTCACCCAAAATATACCTCTGTTTTGATTAAGATTTGGGTAGGGTTTGGACTTTCATGTGGTCTTATCTGCGCTCCTGGACCATATTGGGTAGATATCTCCCCATCATGAGCTTGGGTGGGACAGACTTTTATTAGCTAAGGCTGGGTTCACATCTGGGCGTACTATAGGCGCGGTTTTTCTGCTCGTTTTTTTGCGCATTTTTTAGCATGTTTTTTCGTTCAGTGAAACGCTCGTTTTTAAACTTTCAAACTTCCTGCTGGTTCCGCCCTCCTGCGACGCGGACGCTCACAAGGGACGGAACCGGAAGACTGCAGCGGCTGGAGGACACAGCAAGGATCGCGGACAAGGTAAGACCTACGCTGTATTCCCAAGTGTGGCTCGGGGTTACCGCTTTGTTAACCCTGAGCCACACTTGGGAATAACAATGGATATGCTCTGAAATACGCCCCAAAGAAGTTCCTGTACTTGTTTGGGTGTAGGGCGTTTTTCATCGCATTTCCGCCGGCTGAAATACGCCTAGGTGGGAACCATGCCCATAGGAAATGATGGGATTTCACTTGCTGAGCGTTTTTCAGCGCTTCGATCAGCGCTGAAAAATGCCCAGGTGTGAACCCAGACTAAATGTCAGAGCCTTACTGAGTAACCTTGTCTTACCTCAAAACTACCCACACAGGGATTGAAGCGCCTGATCCAACATGATTGTATCCAGTTTCATTCTCCATGCTGATCTTCTCACACGCATACACATCATCAGATAATCTACAACAACTAGAAAATTCTCCATCAGATTCTACTTTCTGAATTTAGAGTACTGCTTACCGGTTATGATTTCCATTTACTTGGCCAACTTCAGTAACTTTAATATTAGCTGTTGCCTAGGTGATATTGTTGTTGACTGCTTGCGGCTTTTGTTATGTTCTCATGTGTGAATTTTTAGAGGTATCAGGAGCGAGCAATCATTCTGTATATCCACTGCATAACTGACTGTTCTCATGATGCTTCATTACATTGCGGGGGAAGAAACACCTTTCACTAACTTTACTTCCAGCAAAATACAGACAGATAGTTTGCAAGGCAGATAAATTGTTCTTAAAGAGTACTTGTTGATATGATGCTCCAAAGGTGGCGGAGAAAGGTAGACATTGGAGGTTATTTATGTATGAAATTGGTGCAAGAGAAATGTGGCCATTTTTAGTACGCAGTAAACTGACTGAGCTTCCTTTTTCAGGATGCACTCTTTTTTTTTTTTTGTATTCTTTCAATACAATTGTATTCTTTTCAACTGTTTTTGGACCATATGTGGCCATCGCCCTTGGATGAGGCCCCAGTTGTCCAGTTGATGAAAGCTGCATCTCCTTACCTAATTTTTCAGGTCAATATTTCAGAAAATGTTTTAAAGTATATCAAAATATGAAACCCCAAAATTTTAAATATTTCTGCTCACTAGTCCTTAGATGTGGTGGCTGCATTCGCCCCCCCCCCCCCCCC